CGCTTGGCCTTTCCTGACTTGACCGTTTTGAACTTTCCGCGAGACTCGTTACCGCCCGCCCGGCCCGGACTGCTTTCCTTTCAACTCCCATGAGACAGTGAGTGTTGCTGCCAGTAATCCGCGCAATCTCTCAGTGTCTCCTCAGAAATACTTGCGAACACCTCTGCTCTGAGCACTGTGGCCCTGCTGCGAGAAAATTGGAGCTGAACCCCCGCAGCCCATACCCCGAACTACTTCTCAGCGACGCGATTCCCTCCGATCTGCAGGCCCAGGAGATCAAGAAAACTATACGTGGCGTGGATGAGGATATCGCCGCCTTGAATGCCAAAATAAAATGTCTCCAACGCTCGATGGACGCGCTGATCGCGCAGCGCACGGACCTCGAGCGCTTTGCGCATGACCATCGTGGCGTAGTTTCCGTCATGCGCAGCCTTCCGCGCGATATTCTGGTCGAGATATTTGGCCGCTGTCTCAGGAATTACGGTCCGTTTACCCAGCCCGAGGCCTCCTCTTTGAAACCTCTGCTTCTGGTTTCCCGTCGATGGCATTCCACCGCATTGACTTCGCCCAGTCTGTGGCGGTACATTGACGGGAACAAGCCTGAAACGCAGGGTCTTCTCAAGTATGTTTCTATGCAACTTGAGCGCTCCGCAGACGCACCACTTTCCATCACTTTCCGTACCTCCACCGACGGAGCCGCGCAAGCTCTACCGCTGCTCCTGGACGCCTCCCCACGGTGGGAGGAAGCCCAACTCAGCCTCACTCCTACGGATGTCAGGCACCTTTTTGCGTCCACACATGCATTCCCGGCCTTGAAAAGGCTCACTATGACTATCCTGAGGGACGGAATGACTGGCAGCCATTCTTCTGAGTCCGCTCTTGGACCGGCATTCGAGTCCATTCCAGCATTGGAGGAGCTCTCACTGTGGACGGATTTTGGATTTGTTTCCTCAGCACAACGGGTTGACCTTCCTAGATTCCCGTGGTCCCGACTCCGTAGGTGCGAGCTCGGCCGCGTCCACATCGAGGATCTACCTTGGATTCTCCCGCTACTCTCGGCCGATACCACAATTTATCCCATGGATATAGCATCCCGTTTCACTTTCGACGTGAAATCTCCCATCGGCGCGCTTGAGGTCGGCCGATGTACGCCGGTGTTTGTAGCAGGCCTGCTCAACTCTCTCACCATGCCATCGCTGAAGAAACTCCGCATCAGCGCCACCGGCTCTTTCGAGATTTCTTACGAAGATCTCACCTCCATCATCATCTTGTTTCTACGCCGCTCCGCATGCGCACTCACCTCCCTTAACCTCGATGTTAACATACCCGGTCGCGATTTCGATCTCGTTAGCATCCTCGGGTTGCTCGAAGTTTGCGGCCTCCTACATCTCGCCATTGGCGAGAGAGCACTTTCTGCGGAGTTGGTTGATGCGCTAACAACACATGGTCTTGTTCCCCACCTCCAATCCCTGGACATGGACCCCTTGTCCTGCACGCTCACCGAAGCTACTGTGGTAGCAATGCTTGAAAGCCGCCATCCGGTGCTCCACACACTGCGAATCAAGCAGGGTAAAGTGGATCCCTTCCTGTCACAGGCAACAATAAACGAGCTCAGAGGAAAGGGAATGGAGGTGCTCGAGTACGGGTTTTCATAGGCGACGAGTTGTGCTTGAACGAAGTCTGGTCGTAGCTCTGTTGAACCGCATACTAACATATATATGTCTTGGTCGCGTTGTTCTACCATGTCGTCCGCCAAATCAATCCATGCGCAATGATAGATTCGGAAAGGGTCCTCTAAATTCTGATCATCCAAGGTATCTGACAATCGAATTAGACCAACATCCGACAGTGAGCGAGTATGGGGCTGTAAATTTAGTGAGTTAGGCATTGTACAACTCATGAATCTTTGTTTGGAACTTTGCCAACTCTACCTTGTGAAGTTCAAGCTGCGGCGGATTCAGAAACTTGCGGAAAACCTTCTGAATCTGGCCGTAAAAGCGATGAATTGGCTCTACTCCTAGTCCTTCGAGATCTGTACAGAAATTAACTGAATGAAAACTCCATTCATGTCCAAGCTTCGAGGATTTTCAAAACAGTTTGTCCCCGTTGCCCGAACCTCTTCCCACGGTTCGAAATCAAACCTTCCCCTTCCCGTCCAGCGCAGGTCTACCAAGGTGGCTGCTTGTGGCTTAGTATTCCACATAACACATGACATCAGCCTCATTTACCTTGGAACCATGCGAGGAGCTTGAGCAGGGGGCCCAAATACGACGAGTCCAGGGCCCGTGATGGCGAGAAAAAAACAAATCGCTCTTGAATATACAGTAATAAACCCCTGAGCGCAACATTTAGCGTATTTCGCGGAATTCGAGAGGAGGACAACATACTTCTTCCGATTTCTTGTCACAGAACAATCTGTACGCTTCCCCTCTGCCGTCCTGCACAAAGAATCGTGTGATTCCATGCCGTTTTGACCGAGTTCGGGCCAGAAAACTGCGCGAGCCCGATTTGGCTATTTAACCACGAAGCGCAACAGCGGCAAACGAGCAATGATTGCCATTTTCTTTGAGCCACTCGACACCATAGCATCTCGCACAGCCCTATGGTGTGGCCCACGGGCTCCAAGGGTCAACTAATGCCTCGACTGAGCTGTGTTCGTAGCTGAAAGTTGCATCAAATCCGGTGTTTAATGTGATTTCGACCATTTTCCCTCAATTTTGTCATGAGGGAGGCCAATCCACAACCCGCAATGTCACCCATCGTGTTCGGAGAGCTCGAAAACGGGGGTATGAGCTCGAATGACACCGTCCCAACTGGATAGAGGCGAGGGATGGCGTCAAATCTCTGATTTTGGGTGAATTTTTGCCACTTTTGGATGTTTCTCTCGATTTCTTCACAAGGGGCACCGATTCGAGCCCCGGGACCTCTCCCATCGTGTTCAGAGACCTCAAAAACGGGGGTATGAACCCTAATGACGTCACCCCCGCGCCTTGGAGCGCTTAGTTTCGCTGTGTTGCGTTTCGCGGTATTGTTGCGCTTAGGGGTTTATTACTGTATTCTTGCAGAGCCTACTACATTACCTGAAGAATCGGTATTCTTGTCCGAAACGTTGACTAGATGACGGTAGGGCCAAGGGTTCCGACTGTGACAGAGAGAAACCTCGGGGTGTTCACGAGTTGAATTGCCATTATGGAGATGGCATTTAAGCTGGGGTTGCATAGGTGACACTTCTTCGTCAGACCACAACAGCGGCGCTCCTCCGCGTGTGCGCGGCGCATCTCTGCAGTTATGAATCTGGCCTTTGTGTCGGCCAACATTGCTTGCCCCTGGTGCGCCGCACAGAATCCTCCTGCAGCCGGGGGTCTAGTGCAGTTGCCGCTCCGGGCGAGCCCGAAGCATTCCGTGTGACTGGGGGTGGTATGCGCATACTCGGTGTACGCAGGGGGTGGTTCAGAGTCACTCCAGTATCGTCAGACATTGCGGTAAGTGGACAGTTGGCAATGGACCTAGGTGGGAGTGGGGAAGAGGAAGGAAAGGCGACCCACGAACAAAGACAATGTTATCAAGCACCATCTTGCCTTTTTTAGGCCTATTTACCACACGCGCCTCGAGGCAAACTTGACGGTTTGGGGTTTCAATCTCTTTGTGAATTGTTTTTCTCGAGTTCAGGCCTAGGATGCTCGTCGATTCACAGGAAAGGCACACAAGGTCCTAATGTCAGTACATTCCGTATTTCTCCGATGGTACCGATTGAAACAATGTTGCCGGATGTTGCGGGAGATGAGGTTCATGTGATCACGGACGCGAAATGTCACACTGTGACCCGACGCGTTAACGGTGGTGTTATTTGCGAGACTTTCACTTTTACACGGAGATGGAAACATCGGATGACTGGTACATACTTCGCTCAGTATAATTTGAGACTTCGAAGCTGGTTGATCTCCTATTGGCTCGAGTTGCCCGAGGACATTCCCACGGTTCAAACCGCTTACCTTGGACCTGAGTCAACATAAATGAGGCTGGGGCCTTAGACGTAGACATTTCATAGCGAGGTGTGCACCCGACTCAGTTAAGACAGCTGCGAAGTCATGCAGGCAAGAGGTCCAGGTTCCATTTCATTTTCCGGTGGGTGGTGCACAAGTCCTTCCTTTTAGTAGTGTTACTGTCGCGCTCTCAGACCTCATGTTTCAGCTGGGTTTTGAGGTTTGAGCGTAAGGAGAGGAAGACAATTCAACCAATTGACATACTTAGTTGATTTCCTTCCGCCCACAAACACTACATATAAACAATCTCGGTAGCCACCGGCTTTATTTCCAAGCTTCTCTAGCCATTTAGGCAGGAGGCCCTAGTTCGATTCCGGGTCGAGTGATACCTGGGTTGTGAACTCTGTTTTTCTGTTCCCATTTCACATGGTTCGCTTCAGTATCACACTGAATTTTAGCTACTCGACTTGATTTAATTGAGAACTCAAGTTGACTTTCTAGATCTTCGTGAGTGGCTGATTTTTGCTTTGTTCAGCCAGGCTTTACCCCATAAACACTACATATAAACGAGCTTTGAACTCATGTTGCAACCACTTGATGGCACATGGTGTAGACCTGCTTTACTTGAGTTGAGTTGATTCCCTTTCCACCTGGCCCTTTAGCCTTGGACTCGCTCAGAAGTAGTGCATATAAAAGATGCTGGGAGCTGGCTCATAGACACTCAATAGCACATGGTGTGCACCTGTTTCACCTGGTTGATCTATTGACGGTTACGCAGGAGGCCCTGGTTTAATTCCGGGTCGGGTGATAGTCCAGCACGTTTTAAGTATTACGTTCATGTTCTCCCTTTTCACGCTTTCCCTCTGACCAACACCAAGGAGCGGGGTTGTATTGAGGTTCGAAGAGCTGCAGCAACAAATGTTCAACCAGTTTTATTACTGAAGTTGATTTCATTGTCTCCGTTGGTTCCTCACGAATAGCGCAGACTATAAATGACACGGGGACTTAGCTTTCAACCGCTCAGTGGCACATGGTATGCATCTGTTTGACCTGAAAAATTTGCGGCAGTTAAGCAGGAAGTCCCGGTTCAATTCCGGGTTGAGTGATTCCTGTGTTGTGAAAGATTTTTTGTTCCCTTTTCACATGGTTCCTTTCAGGTGTCCACTCCCACCAAGGAACAGATAGGATTGAACTTTGAGGAGGAGAGAGGTTCAACCAATTTTACCACTCGACTTGATTTCCTGTTTCTCTCCTTATTTCAATGCTCGGTGTTCAACCCATAAACCCTGCATATACACGATGCTGGGAGTTAGCTTGCAGACACTTGATAGCACATGGTGTGCATCTGCTTGACCTACCGTGGTGATGCATAGTTTACGCAGAAGGCCTTGGTTCGATTCCGAGTCGAGTGATGGGAATTTCGACGCGATATTTTTTCATTCCCTTTCCACACGGTCCCTTTCATGATGCCGCACTCACATGGGTTGGATTAGAGTGCGAGGAGCAGAGAGGCTCAACCGATTTTATTTTCAAGGGTCGAGTTCATTTCCCTTTCCACAATGTCTTGTCTTCTTCCTCTTAGGCTTGGAACTCACTCAGAAATGGTCAGTATATTGGGCTTCACACTTAAGTTTCAGAAACTCGGTAGCACATGGTAATCACCTGCTTTATCTGGCCTAGGGTTCATGCAGGAGATCCCGGTTCGATTCTGGGTCAAGTTATTCGACTATCTCATACAAAGCTTCCTTTTAGTATCACTGTCTGAGTTTACTTTCCTTTACTTACTCTTGCTCAGAAGTAGTGCATATACTGTGGTGTTTCAACCAACTGTTCACAGGTTGTGACACATGACCTCAAGTGTTCAGAAAACCAGGTGTTCACAGCGTGGGAAATTGCCTTAAATGGTAGCCCGGGCCGCGAAAATTGAATCTTTGGCATCAATTTCCCCCAAATTCGGTGATTTTGAGGGCTGTGATGCGTTACGGTGTACAAAAGTGTTCAATTCACAAACCTCCGTGACCTGTGACGTGAACACTTGGTCGAAACACTACAGTAAACGACGCTGGGACTGAGCTTGCAACCACTCGATAGCACAAAGTGTGCGCCCGTTTGAGTTGATCTTGTGCAATCGTGCATACGGGAGGGTCCTGGTTCGACTCCGGGTCGGGTGATGTGTGTAAGAGAAGGCCAGCTTTTCTCTTTCTCGTTCTACGCTTCTTCTAACGTAGGTCTCTCACCAAGGTATGAGGTTGGATCTCGAATAGCGGAATTCTACTGTATTGTTGAGAACTCGGGTTAATTTTCTTCGTGGGTGGTTGATTTCTGCTTGGTTCAGCCAGGTTTCACCCCACAAGCAATGCATGTGAAGGAGGGCTAAACTGAGATTGCAACCACTCGGTAGCACATGGCGTGCACCTGCTTGACCTTACAGCGTTTGCGGCCATGTTTATGCAGGAGGTACTGGTTCGATTCCGGTTTGGGTGTTGGGTTATCTCTGGACAAATTTATTTTTTCTTTCCCGTTTATACACTTTCGTTTGATTCACAATTTCCGCAATGGATTGGATTCAGGTTCTTCAGGTTGGGTTTAACTTTTCCGCCCGTAGGTAGCATTGGATCGCTCAGAAAATAGTCCATATACTTACCCTAGCTCAAATACCAGCCTGTAGACACTTGGTAGCACATGGTGTGCACCTGTTTGACTTGTAAAAGATCGCACGTACGAGTTTATGCAGGAGGCCCCGGTTCGATTCCGGGTCAGGTGATGCTGGTATAGGAAGCAGTCTTTTTGTGTGCAGAGGTTATGCTGGTTGGGTTCGGAGAGTAGACACTCTATATTATTAGGATTACGCGAAGAAGGATAAAGACAGGTGATTGGAACGTAGTCGTTTGAATTTGTTGCTTGCAGGTAAACACGGGTTACATATTCGACAGAGTGGAGTGAAGCACGACCAAACTTTCAAGCGCCCAATTGAATCAAGGAAGTCGTGGAGGGTCACTATTTTCGGTAAGTAGATGCAGGGGTCGACTGTGAGAGTCCTTCAAGCCTTGAGGCTTCAGGGCAGGGGTTTGGCACAGAAAAGGTGAGAGACGGAAGAGAGATAGAGATCGCCCGGGAATCGTAGGCTTGCATTAACTGAATGAATCAATATGAAGGCACCGGAGCCGCGCTGAGGTGAGGGAAAGATACGCGAATAGTTTGCTTGACATGAGAGACATTATCTCGAGTGAGGGAGGGCTCGGTAAATTGTGCTAAGGGATTCTCTGTTTGAGGCATAAGACTAAGGAAATGAGCGCTCGGATTAACTGGTGGTGACTCCGAGTCCAGGATTGGGAAACACCAATTCGAGTCTTCGGAAGCGAGAGGCGGGGATGAACAAGCCGGTCGACGCTAGTGTATCAAGGAGTAGGGCGTAGCTGTCCCCGGGGAGGCCAGAGCGGAGCTCGTCGTGGTCGTTGGTGGGCGTTGAGGAAGAGAGGGTCCGGCGAATATTTAGTTGGCGGCCCGACCAATCTTCCTTTTCTCGACCACAATTCGATGCCTTCCCCAGGAAATACATACTCAAGCACAGACACGGCAGACGGGCGCGGTTAGAAATGCGCTGAACGGAGAAGGATAAAGCGAGGATGTGCAAGGCCTCATACACGTGAGGAAGCAAGGGAGCTATACCGAAGTCTCATCCGATGGCTCCGTCGCGAGTGCCGCCGCCTGCGCCCAGCGTGTCTACTGCTTCCCCGCTTCCATCTCGCGCCTAATTGCCGGTGCATCTATGCGAGCGCGGGTACATGCGGGAACTGCTAGCAAGAGCAAGGATAAAGATGGCCCCGAGAATAGCGTTGCGGGACAAGGACGACGCGCCAGGCATCGGCATCCGCAAACCCCATCTCCATCCCAACCTCGTTGCCCAGATACCGATGTGCGTGGTCATGCGCGAGCTTGCCGCCGCCTCGTGCTCGTGCAAAGGCCTGCGGTGTAGAGGCAGTTGACGACTGCATCTACGTCTAGTCCGCCCCGCTCAATCTCGTCCTACTCAACCATAGTGGGTGTCTTGTCCTGTTCTTCCTTCCTCTGGTCTTCCCTCTTTTTTGCCCGGGACGAAGCAAAACTGACCTCGTCTCGTCCCACTAGGTACACCCCCTTCCGCTTCCGCTTCTATGCCCCGCTTGAAGCATAGGCTTCTGCTCGAGCTCCCACCCGAGCTCCTCGCGCGCCTCGGGCCAGACGACACTCACGTCTCCGCGATCTCACTCGCCTGCATCGCCCATATGCATCTCGCCATCTCTTCCTCGCCAGCCTGCTCATCGCCCGTAAGCGCGACACAATCGGCGCCTCTACATCCCCTCCACCGCGTCCGTCACCCCTTCTGCCACGGCACCCATATCACCTCCCGGAGGACGTCGCCGTCGCCGATGACTCTCACGTTCGCCTCTTCACCCACCGGCGCGTCCGCTTTCCCACTCTTACATCTTTCACCCACCCTCGTTCGCCTCGTCCTCCCACTCCCAAACTCAAAGTCGAAGCGGAAGGGTTTGAATCGGCATACTTGGGCGCACGCCAGAATTTCTCGTGAATGTGGTGGACATCAATGAGATGGGTGGACAGTGGTGGAGGGGAACATAGAGATGTGTGTGCACCACCAAACTCAGAGGCATCGCGGGATACTGGCGCTGCGAACGCGGGCAAGCGCGACAGCCGCTTCATCGAACTCCTTCGCCTCCCCACCGCTCCTTTTACTGCCACTCACCCACTCGCGTACAAAGACCGCACGAACCGAGCCGAAGTCGCGCCGCACGCTCGTCGTCTTACTGCCCCATTTCTGGGTTGATTTGCCCGCAATTGCGTGCTTGCGCCGGGAGGGGGTTATGGCGGCTATTCCTCGACTGGTACTTCGCACGCGATATCCGTCGAGGGCGATAGGGGGGTGTGGGAGGACGAAGTGGTGGAAGGAGGAGAACAGAAACCCGCGCGTCCGGCGCGCGGCAACTCCCGCTCTTCCCAGTCTCAAGCGGACGACGAGAGGGCCCGAGCCAGTCTGGGGTATTTGGAGAGCTTGCCTCGCGCCGGCTCCGGGCGAAGAACGACGGGCGGAGAGGCCAAGGACGTGTGGGAGTTTGATAATGCGAGTATTGGGTGCGTACGTTGTCTCTTTTTGTTTCTTTTTCTTTTCTGTTCTTTTCTTTTTGCGAGAGGAGAGGGCGAAGCAGAGGCGGCGTCGAGGCTTGTTTGCGGGATGCGAGGTACTTTTTCGGAGATGGCTCCCTGGCTCCATTTTCTTTTTTCGAGGGCGCGCGTGTGCATTGCGGATCCACCTTGCACTCAGGCTTGACGCGCTGCCGCCGCTCGAGATCGTGTCCATCCACCATCCCGGGTCTCGTGCCGGTGCAGCGGCGTGTTTTTTTCTTTCTTTCTTTTTCTTTTTCGTCTTCGATTCGACTTTGCGTGTAGAGTTGAGCTGACTCTCTTTCTTTCTTCTCGGTTTAGGATGTCAATGATACTACTCCGACTACCAGCGCTGTTGGGCGCAGAGAGGCCGCCGGTGGTGCGCGTGTGTTTCTATTTGACTCGGGCTTGTACTAACGAGCTTGTTTCTCGGCAGACTTCTACTCCATCTGCATCGTCCCCGGCCCCTTCGTCTTCGCCTGTTCAATAAGCCGTATCTCCGGCCCAAGCCGCCGAAACTGAAGCCGAAGTCGATGCAGACAACGAGAGGGAGAAGGAGAAGGCGCGCACCTCCTCTTCGTCGCCACGGGGACGCATACGCTCGCGGAGCGGCACTTGGCGTCGTTTCCTTCTCTTGCTCCCACTCCCAACACTTCGCCGCCCACCTCTTCGAGCCCTCCCGCGCATGATGCTCTTCCGAGTGCCGCAAACGACGTCGAGGCTCCGAATCCGCGGGCTCACCGCAACGCCCAGACTCCACCATCGCAAACCAACGCTAGCGAGGAACGCGAGCGCAATGACTTTTGGTGCAGGACATGGCGGTGTTTCAATCTTCACCCTCAAGTTGCCTTCGTTTTATCTCTTGCTCTTTGGCGGCTCATCCGCGTCTTTGATTTTTGAGCGGTGCGGGCAGCGTTTCGACCCCAACGAACACCACCCACCCTAC